GTCCAAAATTGTTCATTTTAACTTACTCTCTGTCTTAATCAGATCAACTGCCTGATTGTTATCACTGTTCATCAATTAACTCTTAGTGTACTGTAGTCACGCATTAAGTCTCCTGTCTCCAATCAACAATGTCCTTTATTATTTATACGCTCAGTTTTTCAACAAAAAAATTCTAAATTGTCCAAAATTTGATTAATCCATGTAATATTTGGGTTTTGTGAAACCTTACATTCTCAATGACTCATTTTAATTTGTGTCATTTCTCAATTTCTTATATTTCATTTGTAATGCGGCATTAAAATTTTGCTTTTAGGATACAAAACTACCTTAAGGTATTTTGCCTTTCCTCAATATGCTGGGCATACATAAACACATAATTTGAATGCTATTCAACCTTCACTTGTTACCAGAAATAGTGTGTTGAACTGTAGAAAACAAACTTAAGCATTTCTCACAACAAAAACAGAATGAAATATTCAAGCCTCACTCAATATGTATCCAAATAGCCACACTCACTTCCATGCCCCATAAACATCAAAAAGTACTTAAAAGATGACTTACTAAGATGAAACTTAGATTTTTTATCACAGAAAACTAAAAAAATTAATTAATGATAAAAAAAAAAAACATTTTCATCATTTTTGCACACTTTGGCTCTCCTCAAAGCCAATCTTAATTTGAGCAGTGCGGAGGGGGAATCTCGCAAGCCAACATGTAAGTCATCGCCTGATAACATGTTTTAGCGATGGAACACCACTACTCTCCCGAGGGATAACATGCACTACTCTTGCAGGACTAATGATCATAGTAGTTAATGTGCACAGAAACACTATCAATTTACCAATCATAATTTTCCCCCTCAAAGTTAAAATGTGGTAGGCTCTGTCCTTTGAATTTGTGATAGCTCAATGTTCAAAGGCCATTATCATTCATACATCAGCAGACTTCATTCGTTTGCAACAGTATTGCAGTATTATTATTTATATATAAATATACATAGAAGATATATATAGAAAAATAAGAAAATTAACTGAGCCAGAATATGACCCAGCACAGTTTACAATATTAATTGCAGTTATTTAGTGGTATGCAATAAAACAATAGCAATTAAGATTACAATATTCAATGTAGCCTCTAATAATGTTACAGTAATTTATGAGATAAGAATCATATGACATCAAAATATGAAATTACAGAATTATAAGAAAGATAAGGCTGTTCGGTCAAGTTAAATAACAAATAGAAAATTAATATATATTTAACACTACGAGTATTTTACAAATTTTTATTGCCTTTGTACAAATTCCAATCATTTCATTTGACTATTCAGCCTGGTTACGGGTGATCTGACAGTAGTGGTAGCAAGGCCGCAGATTTTTACAATGCTTTTCCAATAATCCTTTCTATGAAATTAATATTCATCATAAGCTTGTGCACAGGACCTCCTAAAATTTTGAATGGAGCCCTGTAACCTCACTTCATAAAATATTTTTTGAAAATACGATGTTAAATCCCTGAAAAAGATGCTTAAACTCTGCACATAGAATTTAATTTTTACAGTGATGATGACAAACAGATGAATACATTAGTCAAGCTGTGTGTTATTACTACATCCTGGAAGTTCAGGCATTTATTTAGGATAAAGTAGGGGGTAGAAACATCAAAAATGTTGCAAAATCACTATTTAAAAATAATTATAGTTAAAAAATTAATAATTAAAATGAATCACATGTTTTCTAACTCTTAATACACATTAGCACTTACATAAAAGGTTATTCTTTTGACATTTTTATTGCACATGGCCATCTGGTAGGGTGACTACCAATTTATTTTACTCGCAATGCTGTCTCTACATAACAATTCTTTTTTGAATCTTGAAATGGTATAAGTGAAAACGGAATTATAGATTTCGTTTTTTCACACTTGTATAATTGCAAGAAGGGAAGAGAGAACAAGAAGGAACTGGAGCCTTAGTATTCACAGAAAGACATACAAAACCGTGCCTTCACATTTTCCAGATTTGCAGGTATGATTCCAGATTGATAGAGATCGGTGCCAGGAGGGGAAAAAGGGACTATGACAAAAAAGGCAGAAAAACACCAAAATTCCAAAATAGGGGGTAAAATGCCAAAATTAAAATCTACTAAAATTACTCCAGGAGTAAAATTAAGTGATGATTTCTATTGTTAAAAGTCATAAAATTGTAACAATAATAAATTGGTATTTGGCCAAATTTCCAATCTCTGATTATTACCTTTTGAGCAAGTATGTTTGCCTTATCGCTAAGGGATATTTTTTTAATCAATATTTTACATAGTTCTAAAAGTTAATACTTGTATTAATTAACTCATTGACTTCCTATTTTTTAATCATAAAAATTACTGTATTTCTTTGTGTGGTTTAATTTTTTGCAAAAAATTGTAAATATGTCAAAAATTACAAAATATTTGCACATTTTAAGTGTACTTTGAATTTTTGATTATTTAAATTTCATTTTCAAAATTACGTACATTGAAACTATCAGATAATTTGTAATTTGCAAAAACTGAGTCAACAAGTTACTTTCAGTTTCAAAAAAGAAACAGCAGACTGTTACATTGATCGTGTTTGGATATGTCATTTTGTAAACTTTATGATATAATATTAAGAATATTACATAAAAATTATGGAATGAATTGTGTGAAAATTCTTAAATTTTTTGAGAAACAATGAAACCATTATTCTACACTGGGTATAATGCTCGAATTACAGGCAATGGTACAGTGGACATATTTGGCGCAAAAACATGAAGAAACTTTCAAATCTATCCTTGAAAGGTGGCTAGTTTAGACAAGATCCACCCATTGGAACTCCTAAAAATGCAATAAAATTCCAAAATAACCCTCAAACAGGTAATGGGGTTGAAACCACTCCAAAAAATGTGGAGTCGATTTCTTCTTCCACAACCTGAGAACATTTCAAAAATTGACTGAAAGATTGTTGTGCAGGTATCTTAAGTGCAGGTATCTCAATATCTTAAGTAAATGAAGTGTCATTGTCAAGGTGGCCCAAAAATTTAGTTGGTCACCCTCTTGTTTTAGGCTATCCACGTTTATAATGTTGATATTAATAGTAGTTGAATATTTGCTAAAAAACTTGTTCTGACAATCACTCTTGTACGAGAAAATAAGAGTTCAGGAAAGATTACCAAAGTGTATAAAATCAATTTTGCAACTAAGGAGACATTGCTAACCATTTGAACTTTTGCTGCTTAAAATGATTAATACTAAATTGTATTGTTTTAGTGAACATTATAAAATAATTACTGTACATTCACTTATAAGAAAATTAAAACTCGGGATACTAATTAAGGTAAATAAGGTTTCTGACAAGAAATCTCTCAATATAGATCAAAATGACACAATTATATACACTTCTCAAGAATAATTGTGAGAAATTGGTAAAATTAAGATCTTAGAAAAAATATAGTTAGACACTAAGTATCAGTAGTAGTAGTACATACTATTTACTTATACTTATGTACTTGTATGTACTGGTAGTGAAGTAGCGAAAGTATAATAAATATTACTAATGTAATCAATCCTGAGCAATTGACTCCAAAGTTTTTCAAATATAGGTTGAAGCCTGAAGTTCATCACAATTATACCTTAATTAAGACACAAAGAATACAACACTGCTGTACTGTAAAAAAAGTACTTTTTTTTTTATTAAGGAAATTTTCAGGGGGACATTTGAAGTTGTTTTTGAAAACTATTTTTAGAAAGCTTCTGAAAATGTACCATTTAGAATCTGTTTATAATTGAAGTTTGAGTTTTTGAGAAACTTCACAACCATTAAAGCATTACAAATGTATTTTATTACAAAATACATCTGAAATTTAGAAATTAACAGCATTCAAGATATTTAAAATAATTTCCACTTAGAAAAATGGTCCAGGATTTATTAAGGACAGTCAGTTATTTCTCTTTATAGATTTATTACTTTAAATCTATCTCTGCCAAAATTTTGAGGCCTTATTTGGTCTCATTATCAAGGCTCAAGTACATTCCAAATGCAGTCACATTTAGATGGTCTGAGATTTGAATAGTTCCATAATGGAAATGTTTTTTTTTTATTTTTTTAGTTCCTTTTTTTAATGACACATTATTTGGAGCATTATTCACTATCTGTACAAAAAGTTTCTGAACAAGAAAGATTGCAGGAAGAATTTAGAGATCTTATTTGTACTTTTTGAAAAATGTTTTTGTTTGGATACTATATAACTTGAAAGTGACAACACTGTATATAAAATTATTGTAAGATCTAATATTGAAGAACAGATAGCACTACAAGCAAAATCTCTAATTTTAATAAGGCAGGTGTAGGTTAGCTTCGAATGGCAAGTTTCAGTTTTTGAAAACTTCAGGTTCATTTTTGAAATGGTTCCAAATAGTTTTCCGATCTATTAATTTTATTGAATCAGAGATACTTTTGTTCCAAATTTCAAAAATTAACAATAAAAAATATAACTGGTGCAACTGTAATGTGCCTGAAAATTCAATGAAAAACATCTGAAAACTCAAACTGCTCTTGTTTACATTATGAATAACTTATTGTATCATGAACCCAATGTTACACCTTTCACAATCTTAAAATCAATCAAATCTTTAAAAACTGACAGTATTTCATTCTGTTCCAACAATATATTAATAAGGTTTTAATGAAACATTAACTGTTTCAGTTTTCGTTTCCCTCTCACTACTTTGTGAATTTATTTAAGGTTTAATAATAAATCAAAAGAGAAAAACATGTTTTTCCCCTAGGTTTTTGATGTCTACGATTTTAAATTTATTGGGGAAAAAGTCCTCTTTTGTGTTTTTTCCCACAAATCTCATAATTCCACAGTTTTTATTATCTCAATTTGTAAGAAGTTTTTTTGAGTGGAAATTCATATGCCTCTCAACAAAAAGCAAGAAAGAAATAGAACATTAGAAAGATATTCAAGTATAAATAAAATTATAACAACAATATATAAAATAATTTTATTGGTGGTATCACAGATGTCTAGGTATGGATTATATTACAATATTGTACATTTACTTAATTTATTTTCAACTTACTGGAGGTAACTTTTGAGATAAAGAAAAAAATAGTTGATAACATGTTAATTGACTTCAAATATAATGTTATATATGTTATGAAAAATTCCATAAGAGACAATTTCTAGGAGAAGACTCATCACCAAATTCTACTGTATTGAACTTTTGACATAAAGGAAAAAATAGTCAAAACATGTTTATTGCCTTTAAATATAATCTTCTTTCATCTCGTATATGTGTTATGAAACATTTCACAAGAGACAGAAATCTAGGAGGCCAGTCACCATATTGTATTAAATTTTGCAGATAGTAAATAACTTTTATCAACTAGCTACTTTGTTATATACAATGAATATGACAATTATCAGTCTTGGACAATTTTTTTTAAGGGATCATAAATGAGTCTTTTAAATTGTAGTTCTACTGTAATTGGGTCCATTTCAGGAGAGGCTTGACAAATGGTGTGTTTCCCTCTTTTTTTTGATTGACCTGCTACAAGTGCCATGGTTGTTGGTGAAAGTTCCCCTAAAAACATACAAAAGTTTGCATAATCTAATCAAAGAAATGAAAGTGATATTAACAGTATCAGATAATTAAAAATGTATAAATTTACTTACCAGGGATTCTGACTTTCACTTTGCCGCTTTGTCCAAATGATCCTTCAATTACACCTTTATCACCTGTTGATAAATTCACCTTTAAACCTGAGAATAGAGGAATGTTAGTTTCTTTTTTGAACAGCTTTTTCACAATGACTTCTTGAGTGTTAACAACTCTTTCTACCAATCCCAATTTGGACTTCTCTTTATAAACTTTCAAATTTGGTAATACAGTTTGTGGATAATTTTTATCTTCTAGACATTCCAATAAGCAGCCTGAGAAGGCAAGTCTACAAGTATTTGAATGGAAATCAATATCTAACTTTGATCCAATAACTACACTACCTGGTACAACAGACAATTGTTTATCAAATTCAAGAAGTGCATATTGTTTAATTGGAATATCATCTGACTGTTCGGTGTCATTATCATTCAATAAAAATAGTTCATCCAAATACTTGTAATTAAAATGAAGGTTGATGTAGTTGTCAGGTAATTTGGATTCTGCTTCCAAGTAATCTTTTGGAAGTAAGCCAAATATTGTTATTCTAGCCATCACAGTGTCATGTCCCATTGTCACATGGAAACGACTTTTACTTGCAACGGAACCTTTGAAGTATTTAATTTTGTGTATGGAAATAATGGCAGCATAGGCAGAAACCACAAAGTGAGGAGCAGCAATTAGACCTCTTTCAAAGAGTTTTGGATCAAATTGGGTTACACAAATCCCTAATCTATCACCCTGCTGAGCTTTCTCAACTGGCATCCTAAACATTTGAAGAGATTTAACTTTCTTTGTTGCTTGTAAAGCTGGAATTTCAATTATCTGGGAACAGACAAACATAACAAGCAAGGCTGTTATTCAATATTGTAACTGTTGAAATAATTTAATATTGTTTAAGTTATAAATATTGTAAAGCATTAGGAACAACAGTTAAAACTGCTTACATCATTAATTTTAATTTCTCCCTGCAATACTGTACCAGTCAACACTGTACCTTGTCCACGTATACTAAAACAATGGTCAACAGCAAACAAGAAGGGCTTTAATCTGTTTCGAATAGGCACATAAGCCATTTCTTTCAGAATGTTTATCAAATCATTTATACCTGAAAATAAGGAAAGTAATATTTTGAATAGGTCTGCTGTAGGAAAGATAACATGACCTTCACTTCCTTACCCTCTGGACCATTAGAAGGGCTGTCTGATCCACCAGGATTAGCAGCAATGCTCACAATTGGGCAATCTCTAAAAACTGTGTTCTTTAATGTCATTTTCATCTTTTTTGACATCTGAAATTAATGCATTGCAATACTGAAGTATTTAATTTACAACCAAATTAAATGTATTCTTTTGAATGAATCCTAACCTTTTCAATTAAATAACTACGTTGAGCAGGTGGCAGCAAATCAGTTTTATTTAGTACAACAACCATTTTCTTGCAAGTTATTTCTCCAATAACTAAACATTCTGCAGTTTGTGTTTGCATTCCTTTTGTAACATCAATAACTAATATCATCATATCTATTATTTGAGCTCCTGGAACAGAGAGAAATATAGTGCACAAACCACAAAATTAATTTAGGCAATGGATATGAAAAGAATCTACTGTTTAGTTGAAGTATTATATCCTATGTCAATATGAGTATCATACCTCCGATGATTGTTCGTATTAATGATGCATGTCCTGGGCAATCTACAAGAGTAAATTGCAACTTTCCTGATTGTTCTTCATTTAACAAATGATCTGGCACATCAACCGTAAAAGAGCTAAAACCTAGATCAATTGTTATACCTCTGGCTTGTGATTGAGGATTTTTATCAAAGGCTGCAGTACTTGCAACTGTGCTTAGCACTTTAGCTAAAGATGTCTTTCCACTGTCAACATGCCCCAAAACACCAATATTTAAATTTAACATATCCGTATAATTTCCTTTACTCTTTTTATTCCAACTCTAATTAATTTATAGGTTACAGAATGAGGTTAGGATTCACTTTCTGCTGAATAGAAAACCACTTTTAGAACGCCCACAACACTCTCATTTACCGTATAACAGGCATAATAGTTACAACATACTTAATAGCATTTGAATTATGCAATATCAATGCAAGTTTACGTTATTACGGCACAATTCAAATTTTGACGCATTTCACCATTTCGCTTTTCTGATGTTGTTAGTTTCCCGCTTCGCCGCCAGAGGTATTTCAAGTTGACAAAGATTTTCTGCTCGGACAGCAGTTTTCGTGATGATGGTGTACGTTGTAGTTGCTTATAGCTGGAAGTAATTTAACGTGTTTTAGATTTGTATGTGTACGTTTGCGTGAGGAAATGGTATATGTTGAAGTGTATATTCACATTTGTGCTTGTGCGGTGTAGTCTAGTTATCGTCGATTCAGTGTTAAAGTGAATACTATCGTAGAGGGGCTTGTGCCAAGCGTGTCGGCGAGGTTGTGTTTGTGACGAGCAGTGCTTCAGAAATAAATAAAGCAGTTCCTGATACTGTAAGTTTATAATTCTGCATTTGTGATTACGGCTGAATTTGCGCTTTATTTACTATCCTACATAGTTGTCATTGTTGTAAATGGTAGATTAGAGAAATGTCAAAATGAGTTGTTTTTTTGTTTACGTTGGTGTCAAAAATGTTTTTTTTAGTAGAACTTATTATTCCACATTTGTTTGGTGTACATTTTTTTAATAATTGCGCAATTCCTATCTGAGTAACTGAATATGTATGAAACAACTAATTAGAACCAGGGAGTGTGTTTATTTGTTGTCATGTTTTCTATTATTGGCTGTATATACCGTGACTTTCTAAAGATTAGTGTACACATGTTCATCTCTTATTATTGTTGACATCACATACCACCTCAAGGAAAATCATTTTTGTTAGCAATTTTATTTCAGAAAGAAATCAGTACTTTTGCAACGTGTTAAAAGGTTTATTTATATTTTACTTTTGCATGTCCTAACCGAAATAACGTTAACATTGATGACAATAAGGCAAGTCAGTTCTTTTTGCAATATTTTTATAATCCCGGAACTCTGACTTTTGAAACACCTCGAGCTATTTCTTTGTGAAATAAGCAATCTGACCTTAAAAACATGATCGAACGCCCTTTCTTATTGTTTTTGTTTATGTGTTCGATTTCAAAATATTCCTGAATAAGGGACTACGTACTAAAAAAATGTTTTAATGTGGTTATAAGAAAGTGCCCTTGAAAGCTCAGAGGGCGTGGCGCCAGTTGCTGTTCTTCTTTCGGAAAGTTGTGTGCGAGCCTAAACAGTGAATTTCGCATACTTACCCAATAGACTGGTGACAATGCAATTTTAATTCTGCTTTGCATAAGAAACATTTCAAATTCAGACAGACGTAAATAATTATGAAAAAACAAATTTGGCATGCATTCGCGTTACTGTTTGGAGAATAATAAACTTTGAATTGAATTATTGTCTTTACTTGACAATGCGGCAAACTCAGCAGAATTTTTGATGCTGGATCAAAGTATTCTACTATAAATAATGTACGTTCTATCATACTACGCTGTGTATTCAAAGAAGTCTCGAATTGGTATTAATATTATGTGAATTTTTGAATTAATAATGTAAAATCAATGGTATTGTGTTCGTATTTGTTTAAATTTGCGTCTTGGGTGATCGCGGAACAACCCCAGTTGATGTTAGCGTTCAAGTTTGTAAGAAACACGTGTTTATTACCCTTTCCATAAATAATATGTGATAATTCACTGCTGCTTCCTCCCCCATCACTCTTTCATAATACTCGCTTGTATTCAGTTTTCTTACAAGTCTGAAGAGTAGTGATCATTGACGACGACGATGACGTGATCAAGACTAAATGATATTGTAACAGTGTACCCTAACTAATTAGTGTTGTATGTGGAGAGTGGAAGTCAGCTGAAAATCGCAGGGATGTTAAATGAGCTTCACTTGTCCTCCCGCCGACAGGCAATTGATGGTCGGGGGATTGCCCCAGATATCGGTTTTATCGCCATGCGCCTTTGAGGCCGCTAGCAATTTTAGTCGTGGGACTTCTTCCGTCTCGTAGATTATATTTTTATACCGACATTGATTGTTGCACGTTGCATAATATTTTCCCGAGATCTATCTCGAATCTCTTGTCTTAGTATTCAACCGATTTGATCTCCTGGGGTTTGTTTAGTCGACCTTTCCGGCTGGCCAGTTGTTAATGCAAAACTCCTTGGGATTCTATGGGCCCCTTTCTTTTGCAAAGCCAGCTGCAACATTAGTTCTTAAATTAGATATCAACACCCCTTGTTACTCGCACGAAAATAGCTAGTGTTCTACCGTGTGTGTATACAACGCGGATTGGAAATGCGTTGACAAGCTTGTAAAGCGTGACAAAGATAGACCGAAAACTCTTTCTTTCGAGTCGAATAAAGTAACGCATGGTGTTAAAAGATGCTGTCCATGCAATACTCAGAGACGATGTATGCCAATTTCGTTAAATTTTTCAGAGTTGATTTGACGTACTTTTGACTAGAAGTCATTGAAATTTGGGGCTCTGGGCACGTGTTCTGGTGTTGACAGAACTCAGAACAGAGGAAACATGGAGCAGTCTAGGAATTTGTAATATGTGAATAAGCCAGCAATTTTTATTTTCAATTAGGGGAAAATTAAATCCGTATTTTCTAATTCTTTAATTTATTGCACATCAACGTTCATATTGTATAATGCGATCCTGATAACATTGGTAATTTTGATTGTGCTGGAGGAAACCGCGCCCGCGCGAAGCCAGCTTTCGCCGCGCAATGACAACGTGACCTTAAGCACGTGCGTCTACTCTACCACGCATGCCGGGAGACCGGTCGGGTGCTTTGAGATTACTCCTGGTGGGAGATAGCTGGTTGGGGGAAAACCTCACTATCGGACCGTAGGTCGGCGCCGGATCTCGCCATCCCGCGGGGCAAGATCACCGCCACCTCCCGAGCAAAAAACATGTACTACACTTATGGGAATAACGACCTTAGCAGTTGACGCGCCCGGAATCACTAGTAATAAATCAATCAAGCAAGCACGAGCGTGCGACGATCGCGAAAGCGGTGTCGAGACGGCCGCTCCTCAACGAAGCGGGCGCGTCGCTCAAATGTCGAGCCGCGGAAAAACGCGCCTCAGATGGACGTTGACGCGTTTCGGTGGGAGGAGAGCCGGCAAATCGCGGTCGTTGGCGCCGCAAGCAGGGCTTTCGTTCCGCGTGCCCGCCGCGCCCACTCCCCTCCCCCTCCCCTTCTCTACCCGCGCGGTGCGGCACACCGGCTGTGGCCACCGTGTCGCCCACGCGCCGCCCTCGCCGTGTTCCGAGGCGCCCACGGATTGGCTTGTGCGTTGACCTTTCCTACTCCCGGTTCCTTCGAGTATTCCTCGCCGTTTTGTCGTGCGTTACAGGTGATTTGGCTGACAGTCACCGGCATCAGGGTCAAGGATGACAGTTGAATGAAGTCGTAGGCTCCCGCGGTCAGAGTCATGTGCATGATTATGGGCTGTCCGGATGATGCCGCGAAGACTGTGTTTCGACCATCTTCTCGTGGCCTTCCTCAGGGCTGGTATGCGGGGTCGAAACGTCGGCAACACAGCCTTGGACGCGGCGTCACCCGGACACCCAAGATCATGCACAAGGATGACAATTACTTGTTCGATCTCGGTAACGGAAACATTAGAAATCCTAGAGATAGTCTCCTTGCCAGTGGTGGTTAAATGCCGTTTTTACAATAATAGTTAGACCCCAAAAATTTTATACCAGCGCATCAGTTTGCCTTTTCCGGTTTAAAGCAATTCAACTTAGACTTTGGTCGGGTTTTCCGTTTGGTATGACTGTGGAGCTCTGCGGCTGCGGCAGTTTTCACTCGAGCGAGCTGGCTCGCAGGGGCGTTGGGAAGACGTCGGCGCTTAAATAAATGCTGTCGGTTTGCATAGAATTTCAAGCAAGTTAACTTCATCCAAAATAAAAGATTTGAGGAATAAATTCATGAAATTTGAAGAACATTGGAACATATCACATTTCCTAATTTTCATCGTCCCACCAAGAGAAGCAAGCGGCTATATTTCTAAAAATAAATCATTTTAAGAAAGCGAAACCTACAAAACCTGAGTTTGCTTGTGCAGTCTTAAATCTTAAAACTATATTGAATTCGATTTGTGATAATAACCGAAAATAGTGTTTACTAGTGGCCCCTCAGCAGCGGAACAAAGATGATTTTCCAAAAAGTACTTTGATTTTCCACTGCTCATAATCAACTACAATACTATCGTATAATACTGCCATAAATTGTATATATTACAAAAAAGTCATTACAAATACTGCTTCAATAACTTGTTCGTATATACAAGAGAACAGTTCTTTACATATCAAGATTTTCAAAAAGTTGCTGTTTCATAACGCAATAGGAGAATAGTAAATATTTAATGGCGGACAGCCTCTTGTAGCCTCGCCGTCGCATTACGTTAGATGTGCTTTGAGTAGTGACTCACTGAGAATGAGAATTCAGTCAGTACACGCCGTATGCATATCATAATCAAATTTGTGCGTATTTCAGTCAAAATTAAAACTCTTTCCTTGTTTTTGGAAATTTCCTGAGTTTCTGGCTCTCTAACGAAACCATACATGTGTCACTTGGCCAAAGGGCAAATAGTTTTTTTCAAATTTCTGCGCGTATTGAAAATTAGTAATATAATATATTTATTCGAAAATCAGTAAATCATATTGGTATTAAATTTTCCTATTGATCCTTTGGAATTATATCGCTATTCGCAGAAGTTCGAAGTTCTTATGTCATTGCTGTAATGATCGCCCAAAGATCAGATTAGGTACAATTGAAGCAATATGCAACAATTTGGGAGTTGATTATCGTCAATGACCACAATAAAATCCACCCTACTGGTATAAAAACCAAAGAGAAGCGTCATTTCCTGTATTACCCGCTATGATTGTTCATTTGTTTCGGTTTTCACCTTAAAACGTCCCAATAGCTTAAGGCAAAGCCTGATAAGTTGTTGAAATGTTGACCCGCAGCGCATTTTTGGAGGAAGAAAGCGTTGAAAAGAAGTTTCACTTGCCATCAATATTTATTGAAAATTCGTTTTGGTACGTCGGATTTTGACAACGGCCTTGTTGATGGTCCAGTGTAGTTATTATGAATATAGTATATTCTGAATATAGTTAACTCTGGAATAGAGAGTTTTCGTTTTCAGTGAACCAACTGGGCCCGATCTACCTTCTACATTATAAATAAACTAAATTCCGTGGTGGTAGCAGATATCTTGTAGTAATCCATAATGGGAGAAGGAAATAATCGTACACTAAACAGTATAATAATTTGAATTAAAGAGTCAAGAACGCACGGACTCTCAAGAATGATCTGCGAAAGGTACTAATAAAACTGTTCTCAACAAATAGTAATAAAAAATATTATAGGCTAAATGGATATTTCGATTGAAATTTCGAATTTACAGTGTTTGGATATTTTACGG